AGGGTCCAGGGCCCAGGGCTTAGGGTTTAGGGTTTAGGCTTGAGGGCTTAGGGTTTAGGATTTAGGGTTTAGCATTTAGGGTTTAGGGTTTAGGGTACAATTTTGTTCTTGCTTTTATCTGTTGACCACTCTTGCTAGTATTTGGAGAATAGACATATTTTTTGGGGTCCCTTTAAGGATGTTTGTGAGTCTATAATGTAGTCCTACTGTCTAGGAAAACTATTATGTTTAAGGAAACTTTAGGTGGGTAGTTTCTCTCATATAAGCATTGCATAGCCCTAAGACAGCTCCTGGTCTTGCAATAGAAGCCTTCGCTCGCGGTTTAGGGTTTAGGGTTTTGTGGGTTTGGGTTGGGTCTGCCCCCACCCAGTAACAGTCTATATTAGGGGTCCTATTGAGGGCTATATATAATCATATTATACTTATTATCCAACTGTTACGGAGGGGGGGTAGTACCCAAGGTTTAGGTTTAGGGTTTGGGGGGTTTATGTAAGGGTGCGCACCTGGTAATTCCCCGCCTGAGAAATTCCCTAAGATATGCAGGCTTCCAAAAAAGTAGGGGTCCCTTTGTGTGTGGGCTCCTCAGAATACAGATTACAGTGCTCTGGGAGTTTGAAAATGCACAGATGGATTGAGGGTGAAAGCTCAACAATTCAGGCTTCAGAGTCTGGAGATTTCGCTGTGGCTTTGGGATAAGGGATGAGGCTTTGGGATTGCGGTTGTGAGAGCCTGCACTGGAGTTTACAGCACCTGCCCCTGTTACCCTGCTTGGAGGGTCAGGCGGACTAGTAAGTAGGTTAAAAGTGAGGTTATTAGCTTACTTACGAAGCCCCCCTGACCCCAAACCCTAAACCCTGAAACCCTAAACCTTAAACCCCTGGGAGGCTTGTCCGTGCCTGCTTTTCTGCACAATCGCAGCTTGCCTTGGCCCTGGAAGGCCTGCTCGGGCCATGCAGCTTAGGTGAGAGTGGGGTTTGAGGTCAAGGATGTGGGGTTTGGGGTTGAAGCTTTATGCTCGTCTGGGTTAAGGGTTTAAGGTTTAGAGTTTAAGGTTTTAGGGTTTTGGATTTTGGGCTGTTTTTGGGTTTGGGGTTTAGAATTTAGGCTTTGGGTTGAAGATCAATGTTTCAGGTTTGGGGTTTATGGTGTTGGGGGGGGGTTTAGCAGTTTAGGCTTGAGGGTCTACGGCTTAAGGTCTCAAACCCTAAGCCCTAAACACCTGTTGAAGGCTGCGCCGTTCAAAGGTTCTGGCAGTCTTGGGGGTTGAGGGAGGATGCGTTTTCTGAAGCCCCAAAGGGGTCCAAAACTGGACACCTTCGAATCATGCGGGGAAGTATGTAGATTGAGGATTTAGTGTTTAGGGTTTTACCTTAAGCCCTAATTAAACCCTAAGACAAAAACCCTAAACCCTAAATCCTACGTCTAAACCCTAAATCCTAAGTCCTAAACCCTCAATCGTGATAGGAATCCTTATGGGCTATCATAGGGCACCCCGAATATATTCCATCCCAGGGTTGGACGAGGGTGAACCGCCCGATCCTGAGTCCTACGGTGGATGGATAAAATCCTGCCTGACCCAAAAAATACTATACCACCATAACTCCTACAGTTTGGGTATATAGGTGGCCCTATGTATACTAGACCACCATAATTCCCATAGTTTAGGTATATAGTTTCATGCAGGATTTTGTCCATCTACGCTGCAGTAGTAATAGGAATGATAGGAATGATCGCAATAGTGGTAAACATAGTAGTAAGAGGAATGATAATAATAGAGCCCTAAACCCTAAACCCTGAGCCCTAAACCCTGAACCTTAAACCCTAAACCCTAAACCCTAAGCCCTAAATCCTCAACCCTAGGGATCCTAAGTCTTGAGGTGCAAGTGGATTGATGCTTGAGCGGGCATAACTGGTGTATGAGGGTTCCCAGAATTAGGGGGTACCTTTTTGGGGTACCTATGTTAAGGATTATAGTATCTTGGGGTATATATTGGGGCATAACTGCAATAATAGAGATATTAGCAGTAATGGTAGAAATAATAGTAAGAGGAATGGTAAGAATGGCAATGACACAGTATCCAGAGCACGGGACCCTAAGTCTTGAGGTGCAAGTGGATTGGGTTTAGGTTCTAGCGTTTCGATGCTTGAGAGGGCATACTTGCCTGAGGCTGAGGTTTAAGGTTCTAGCGGGGCTTAGAGTTTTGGGTTTAGGGTGGTGCTTCATGATTGAGAACTTGGATCTAGGTGGAAGATGGGGGTGTTTAAGGGGACGCACAGCTCTAATCCGAGAGATGAAGAACATCCTCCAAAACCCTATTTTGAAGCCTGAAGCCCTGAAACCCCAAAACTGCAAAGCCTGGATCTCTCCTTACACCCCTTCCGCTGAAACAGGGTCTGCCTTTGAGTGTCAAGAATGCTCCAACTACTTCTTATATAGCTAATACCCCAAATCTCTAAACCCAAAGCCCTTTGCTGTGGAGAAAAGGCCCGCAAGAAAAGAAGCCTAGATCTCTTGACAGGTCCACCAGCTTCTGTGCTGGGCGCCTGGCACAGTGCCAACGGCGTGTCTGGGTTGCTGTTAAGGAACTTAATTTAAGTTACTATATTGGGGAAACCCTATTATCTACTATATATACCCATTATGGTAAGCCCTAAACCCTATACCCATTATGGGAACCTTAATTTAAGTTCCTTAATAGCAACCCAGGTGTCCTGTGGCTGATACCCCGGCCGGCGGCGGCAGACGGTCTTTTCCAGGAGCTTGAGGAGGCTGGGTCTCCATATGTGAGGGATCCCTTGGATAGGGTTTAGGGTTTAGGGTATAGGGTTTAGGGTTTAGGGTTTAGGGTAACTATTACCTGGAAGAAGGATTCTAGTGTTTTGGGGTCCTTTTTCATGACCGCAGCTCAATTGTTGAAATAGTGCAGGCAGGGACATGCAGGGTTCTGTCCATCACCCTAAACCCTAAACCCTAAACCTAGTATGTAAGATTCATGGTAGCGGTTATCCTCTTGCCATGATCCTCCTAAAAGGGGCTCCCAATTAGGGTTTAGGGTTTAGGGTTAAAAATATGCCCCACAGAGGAGCTTGAGAAAGCGGTCTAGGAGTAATGTTGATGCAGGATTCCTTCATAGGATTACTCTTGTAGTGCTAGCACGCACCAGTCAACGCAATTGCTGCAGACTCCTCAATGTCTTGAGTATTTGTTTGATGATCGCGCTTCTTCCTTTTCTTCCAGCGGTTGTTATGCTGCTTCCACACCGCAAGCTTCCACCCTAAACCCTGAACCCTAAACCCTAAACCCTAAATCCTCCCAAGCCCTGAGCTTCTTTCCGAGGTGAAGATGCCCCCTTCTCCTGAAGACGGCAGCGGTGCCGTCGTGTCCAAAGTTCTGGAGGCAGGGGTGCGCCTGTTCCTCGGCCGAGGCGTGGCGTTTGCGGAGAAGTGGGTTGAGGGTTCCAAACGTCTAGTGGTCGGGATAGGTGGTGGTTATACTGCTGTTTGCAGTGGATGAAGAAATTGCAGCAGCGGCCGGGGCACGATGAGCAACAAAAACAGCAGCAGCAAGAGGAGCGGGAGCAGGAGGAGGAAGAGCAGGAGAGCAGGTGCTGCTGGTGTCGGTAGTGGTGGCCGTAGTGGTGGCGGGGCGGTAAGGGTAATGGTAGGAGTATGATTCATGCGACTGCTTCAATGGTGCTTAAAGCCAGAAGCATTGATGTTTCCAGCTCTGACGTTCGGGGATTTCAGCTCGGGATGTAGACGTGGCCTGTGTTCATGCGATTAATTCGGACACGGGGATTTAAAGGGGCAGGCAGATGTTGAAGGTGATCATTTGCTTTCGTTATGCGTGCAAGCTTTGTCTAAGTTCTGTCGTTGTCAGCTAACTGCATGCAGCATGGGGGTTGAAGCGTCCAGGATTCAGGATGCGAGGCATTGCAAGGAACCTTTTACTTCCTCAACTTTTGGGGTCGAAGCCTTAAACCGTAACTTACTGTTGGTTAGTCGGGAATAAGAGAATACAAGGGAATACAATCAATCCCTACATGATATGTTCCCTTATTTCCTAATACGCCCCAGTAAGTTAAACACCCTTGGCTGCTTTAAGTTAAGGCTCCTACGGAACTACGATGTCGTGAAGGTGGCTGTGGCATCCCGATGGGAGACCCTTCTGAGGGGCCGCGTTCAGGCGCCGTGCTAGTCTTACTGGGGGTTCATAGGGAATCCGGGAATATACTGTATAGGGATTATATAGGGATTGTATTTCCTGGTTATCTACTAGCTAACCACCAGCAAGCAGTTTGTTAGGCTTTCTAGCTTTCATTCGTTCTATGAAGTTTCTTTTGGGTTCTATTGTAGGCGTGGTTGGTCGTAGGTTAGGTAGTATGTAGTTTCTATTGAGATGTAGAATCCAGATGGGAGAGAGGGCTGCATAGCCATCAGGTATAACGTTTGCAT